TCAGGAACTTGGCAGCATGAACCTGGGCTATAGTGTGCTTGTTCACCATTTCCCTCCATCGCACCAGAAACACCCAGAGGAAGCATCCGACAGGTTGAGAGCTTCCCTGGATTGAGCCATCTAAGCTCAGAAAGCTTGTGCACCCAGGCTCTGGGGAACAGTGAGGCAGTGCCCCAGAACCTGCACAGCAGGATTGGCACGTGGGTTATGGCAGACACCCAACCACAAGCACAGGCCCCAATGGTGCATACAATTACAGTAGGAGGCATTTTCCTCTTGAAATACATTTAAAATGATTTGGAGAAAGACCTCAAATTTGGTGGCCTTAAACCAACAGCTTTTTCCAAGACTCCCACCCATAGCTGCCAGGCCATAAAGTAACTGCATGAGAGGAAAGTCCCAGGCTCAGCAGTCAGAGGACAGGAAGAGGAAGTCTGCCGTTCTCAGGTAGCCTGCCTGAGGTCACACCTGGACACATACACAGCCTTGAACAGAGTCCTGAGAGTAAGACTGTAGAACCCAAGTCATAGCAGTTCACTCAAGATACTTCTCCCTCCCTCTCAGTCACCAACCCCCATGGCTGCTCGGGAATCCATAGTTGACCATGCAAAGCACAACATTTGGGCATCTTGCTGAACACCAGCATTTCCACAGCTCTCCTCTCTTCACCCCTCTATTATGTTCCATAGGTGAGAGAGCACCATCTTTTTCTGGACTTCTGGAATGGTCTACAGCCATCTCAATCTAAGTAAGCATCAGAGCTATTCAGATTTGGGAGAGGGGGATGGGTTGGTGAAGTTAATGGTTGTTGTGTTCTTTATCTGTCAGGCTGAATTCTCAACTACAGATTTACCACTGTATATATGAGCAGTCATTCTTGGTCCATTGGATCGCAGCCTACATTAAATAATAAATACAGCTTATATGCCATAAATTATATTCAAGAGGTACATGAGACGCATTTGAGAACTATTCTCAAACTCCCATTACTAACTTTCTCCTCTGGCCCTCTCTTTGCCCAAGAAAATGAACCTTTTTCACCTTCACAGCTCCTTCCCAATCTCCTTCATCAGACAAGCAGGTAAGAGAATCAAAGGTCACAGTATTTCAAACCAACCAGGACTCATGTTCATGATTACCATGACACATCTTACTCATACCTCTCCATAAATAGAGACAGAAAGAAGAAAGAATCAATACTTTAAGCAATTTTTTCTCTTTTCCAAAGACAAATTTCCAGATTTTGAAGGTAACTTCACATCTTCGATTCCTTCCTGTCTGTGCCTTTCTTTTTCATGGACTTGGCTGTAAATTAATGTTTCCCAAACCTTCATGTGCATAGGAATCACCTGGAAATCTTACTAAAATACAGATTCTGATTCAGTGTAGATAGGGAGGACTGAGATTGTGCCTTTCTCCCAAATTCCCAGGAGATGCCAATTCTGCTGAGCTACAGCCCACACTTGAAGCAGAGAATCTAAGTTCTCTGAAACTATTCTCTGAAGCCTGCGTAACACAATTTATAGCAGCCTGGGAATGTTTCCTAAACCTTAAGCACAATTTTCCATGGAATGCAGATCTAGCATTAGATCTTGTTTCACCCTTGCAATAAGTGTCAGATTACTATCTCAGACCTAGGCCCCTCAGGCAGTTTTACAAGGGGTTCCTCCTTTGACCTTTGTAGGCCTAGACCAGATGTATGGAAAAAATGAAAAGATAAAAAAGGGTGAAAGAGTTATTACCTAGGTCTTTAAAAAGTCATTGTATCAGGAAGCTGCAGCAGGGGGGAAAAAAAAAGACAAAAAAAAAAAAAAAATCAAGACAAAGGACACTAGAACAGCCTTGACATTTGTGGTGGGGGAATAAGGAAGTTGGAGGAATGGTAGCCCCTGCTGCAAGACAAGACTATGTGGGTGAGAGAAGCATTTTCCTTTGGCAAAGACTTCTTGGTCAGGCTGTATCAAAACCTCTTTCCCCCAGTGGAAAGAAACTGAGAACTCTATGCAAAAAAAAAAAAAAAGACACAAGAGCCATATGGAATTCTCTATTTTTTCCCTCACACCATCTGGTTAGGATCTAAGTACAGAATGGCAACTGCATCGATTTTGGAGCCAAGAAAACCTCTAAGCGCCTGGAAAGGTGACAGCATGGTCGGTTTAAAGCCCCCTTCTCTGAGGCCTACACCATTGTCTTTATACTATCAAGAGTAAGGTCTCCATGGCCAGCACAGACACAAATGATCCCAATGTTTTGTGCGTCAGCAGCATTTCCCCCTCTCACCAATGATTGCAGTTCATGCACAAAAAAGTTAAAACTGTGTGGGTTGAGACCATTTCAAGATTGAGGATTTGGAGGGAAGGGAACTGGGGATTGAATCCAGGAGTGCTTACCACTGAGCTATACCCCCAGTCCCTTTTATCTTTTATTTTTGAGATAGGGTCTTGCTAAATTGCTTAGGGCCTTGCTAATTTGCTGAGACTGGCTTTGAACTTGAATCTTCCTGCCTCAGTCTCCCAAGTTGTTGGATTATAGGTGTGCACCAGCATGCTCAGATAAAATCCATTATCGCCTAACTTATCTGGCAGAAAGACCTATGCTGGCCTGAACTTCTTTGGTGCCAAAACCAGACCTGAATGGACAAGGGGCTGTTGACAATCATTATTCATCTGACTCAGGCTCTCCAGATGGGATTTGAAGCAGTACCCAACACTTGGTGGTGGTATTACACAGCATAAACTGTCATCTAACACTTATTCTTTTATTTATATATATATATATATATAGTAGTTGGACACAATACGTTATTTATTTATTTATTTGTTTTTATGTGGTGCTGAGGATCAAACCCAGCGCATTGTACATGCTAGGCAAGCGCTCTACCACTGAGCCCCAGCCCCAGCCCCTAACACTTATTCTTAAAATGACCACCCTCCTGCCTCAAGCAGTAGTTTCTGATACCAGGGGCTTTCTTGTTAACAAATACCCTCCAACCTTAAACTACACGTGCCTAATAGCTTGGGGGGGGCACTTTTTTTTTTTTTTAAAGATAGAGAGAGAGGAGAGAGCGATAGAGAGAGAATTTTAATATTTATTTTTTAGTTTTCGGCGGACACAACATCTTTGTTTGTATGTGGTGCTGAGGATCGAACCCGGGCCGCACGCATGCCAGGCGAGCGCGCTACCGCTTGAGCCACATCCCCAGCCCCAGAGGGGGGGCACTTTTTAAAATACCTTCATGGAGTACAATTTATGTTCATAAAATTCACTTATTTCAAATGTACTACTCAATGGTTTCGGGTAAATTTACATCACCACAATCTCATTTCAGAACATCTTCATCATTCCTTGTGCCCATCTATAGTTGTGGTCCATTCCCCACTTTCCCAAGTCTCTGACAACCAGTAATCTATTTTTTGTCTCTATGGATTCACCAGTTCTGGAAATTTAAAACAAATGGAGCCATATAACATTGTGTCTGACTTCTTTTACTTAACATATTTTTGACATTGACCCATGTCACAGCATGGGTCAATACTTCATTCCTTTTTATTACTGAACAGTATTGTATTGGTTATATTATGTCTAAAGACAATTTTTTAAAATCAAGATTCCAGAACCCTTTCTTTTTTCTTTTCTTTTCCTACTGGACTGGGGATTGAATCCAGGGGCTCGTAACCATTGAGCCACATCCCCAGCCCCTTTTATTTTTTGAGACCAGGCCTCTCTAAGTTGCTGAGGCTTGCCTCAAACTTGTAATCCTCCTGCCTCAGTCTCTCCAGTTGCTGGGATTACAGGCATGCACCACCATATCTGGTACCCCCTACATTCTTTAAAAGATCTATGAGAATGGATGCTGATCCATTTCTGCTCACCTTTTCTAACCAGCGTTGCACAGATACACACAGAACTGGTACCTAACAGATCCAAGGCAGAAAGTCAGATTTCATGGCCATTAACCTGACACCACAATCTAGGTCTTGAAGAAAAAAGATGGTTTTATGAAATAAAGGGTTTTATGACTTTGCCATTCAATAGGTATCTTCCACTGTATCTCAGGATTGCTCCTTCCAGAGCTGTACTTGCTAAGCTGCCATTTCTGATTTATTCCTAACAAAGCAAGCAGCCATTTGGGAGAGATGACATTATGGGTGACACAAAAATCACGGCAATACTTTAAGCCTGCTGTTGTGTTTATCTGACCCGCCAGCAGCCCTTTATGTCACATCCGACATACTTTGAACTACAGTTCTATGTTAGCTAAATCATTGAGTTTTCGCCACCTGAGCTGAACATTGCCACATGTAAACTTTGGGAATACAAAAGGGTAGATGCCCATATTGGTCAGCATTCTCCCTTCCCCGAGATCCCCAAATCCAATCATGGATTTCATCCAGACCCAGTACCTAGTGGTTTGAGACACCAGTGCTCTTCAAGAGCAAGGAAAATGGAAACTAAATTCAAGGGACCTACCTGGTGGGAGTTGAACACACACTGATCCAATCCTAATTTCACATGCTTGGATTTCTCTTTCTCAAAGACATTGACCAATGTTAAAAGAGGGTGACACAAAACAGCCAGGTTGAAGAGATATTGGGGGCATGCTCAGAACTCCTACATCCAAGGCTCCTTGTCTGCCCTGGTCCTGTTCCAGGCCCAGTGGTGGACATATATGGTCCCCCTTCCCCATTATTGGTTCAGACATCCAAAATTTTATGTTAGCCCCAAGGCCTATCTTACTGTACACTGTTCCCTTAGAGAAAAAGAGGTGGGGTGAGGAAAGAGGGAGAGAAAATAGAGAAAGATGGGGTGGAATGGAAAGGGGGAGAGAAAATGAAAGATGATTAAAAAATTTTTAAAGGGCCAATTCCACCCATGCCCATGTCAACAAATTAATGCATCAAGCAAAACATAAAATATCACGAAACTGAAAGAGCTATTACAAATCATAGTAAAGATAACAGTTGACTTGCTATTAGAATTCACCCCAAGGCTGTATTTACCTGGACTGCTCAAGGGGCTAGCCCTGTCCCCCATGGTTGGCACAGGATGGTACTGGTGGTTCTTTGAGCCTGGGTACATCCAGTGGTACCTGCCAATTTCCATTTCAGCTCTGCTGTTCACTGCCAATTTCAGGTGGCAAAGAGTCAGTGTCTCTATCTCCAGCAAAGATTCTATATCAGCATTTTTATTTATTCTTTTACCATATACTTCAAGGAAATGGGAGCTTAAATATATGCTATTGAAATGTAATCCTTCAGTATCAGTTCAACAACTCTGCATGATACATTTAAGAATGTTGGAGTCGCTTCCTTCGTCTTTTAATTTCAATTTATACAGATCACCAAAATCTCCTTTCCTTTGTTCATGTCTCCACCTCCTCCCTCCAACCCACCCCTCAAAATGCTCATTTGGAAAAGACACTATTTATAGTTAAAATTTGGCTTTGCACAATTTTTCTTTCTGTTTTATTTCCTTTTCAGACCAAAAGAGCACTATAATTTTTGCCAGCTGCATAAGCAAAGGTGAACATAGGTTCACTCTCTATAATTGTCCCCAGTTTCAGTCCTAAAAATCTGACACATAACCCAGTAGCCTGCTGAATCTTGGATAAAATATCTATCCTCCACTGACATTTGTGGTATTCTGTGTCACCTCTCCTTCAGCTCAGAATATCAGAGTCTAGAATATTCTACATTAAATCCTATTTCAATGATTTCTCAGTATGAAGAAAGGGCTGCAGGTCTGGGGCTCAAGTCAGAGCTTACTCAGGTGTTGACAACTGGCCTCCAAAGGACTTGGGTCTCTGTCAATATGACTGTTTCCCACTTTTTAGAGAATGGAGAAGAAAATACCTACCAATTTGCCTGGCATAGAAGAAGCTTCTGGTAACAGTTGAATTATAATCTTGAAATCCCTAACAAACTCAGGTCACCATGGCCAGTTTATGTCTGAAAATTCTATAAACTGGATAAGGGGTTATGTCCTCTGGGTATCACAAATATTTAGAGATTTAAAAAAAAAAATGCTTCTGGCACTGATGTGGGCAATGATTCCATCAGAAGAGCAGTTTTAATGCTCCATTTGGCACCTTAGATGGCTGCCGATAAAGACTCAGTAAATATCCACATTGGGAGGCAAAGCAGCAAACACCCTGACAGGGTACACTGAAAATCTGACAGTGCCTGCATGGAATCCCAACTCCACGCTCCTCTCTCTCTGAAAACTCTTAAGAATTTTCAGATTGGGAAGCAAAGACTTACTTTTCTAGGTGACACTTTAGAGAGACCCTTTTTGACTTCAAAGTAAGATAAAAATGCTTTGTCTAAAAGGAGAAATAAAAGAGACTTGAATAAGATCAGAACTGCACAACAAAACTTTTTGGCTACTGCTGTTTCTGTTATCAGTGCTGAGGGTGACAGCTATAATTTATAAAGTGTTTATGATGCGCTAGTTGTCATATTAATGAGCACATGGTGCCTGTTCCATTATCCATCACAACTACCTTATGAAATTGTTATTCTGTCTTGATAAATGAAGAAGGGAGGGAGACAAAAAGGTAAAGATCATTTGGCCAGTGGGTGGAGGAGCCTGGGTGTGCACCTGGGCGATCAGCCTCCAGAGGGCGCACTTTAAAAAAACCACTGCAACCTCCTCCTGAGCCTGTGCATTTGCGGCTGTTCTATACTTTTTCCAGAGGCAGCAGTGTTTTTCTGAGGTCCATGCTGAGGTGAGCTGTGCTATGCCTCCTAAAGAAATGGCCCTGGTCCTCAGCTACTGATGTTAATTCAGGTTTATAAAAGCTCATAATCCTCAGCCTTCAAGAAGATTCTCAAAGGTGCTATGTTCTCTGCAGCAAAGAACTCTTGAGGCTAGAAAGAACCAGAAGGTCAAGTCACCTCATCGAACAATCTAATTTCCTCTTAGCAAAGTGGCTGTGAGCCCTTCATGTTGGTCCCCCAAACAAGAGGATTCTAAGTACCTTAGTCACTTTTAATGTGAAATTTTTCATCCTTCTTTTTGGGGGGGAGTGGGTGCTGGGGATGGAACCCAGGGCCCATGCATGCTAGGAAGTGCTCTATTTCTGATTTACACTCCCAGCCCCTCATCTTCCTTTTTCAGATTTCATCTTTGCACACCCAGCATACAGTAGGTGCCTAATAACTATTAGCTGAATGAATATTTAGTTGGAAGTAAGGAAACACACTGGGAGCCCATGGACCCAGAATGGCCCTCCATGTTCCCTACCCTGTAGACTTCTACTCTAGCCAGGCCATGCAATTCAGAGGATCTGTACCCGTCCTGCCCTCATCTCTCTATATGGATGGGGAAGTCTGCAGACATTTGGTGAATCAGTCACTAGCTGCTGGGCAACATCAATGAAAAACCATGGATTTCCTAACACCAGTGTGTCTTCTGGCAGCCATGCCTGAGGTACTTAATTCATCATTCAAACATAACTACCCCAGCAGATGCACAAATGGGATCAGCAACTGCATAGATGTTTTCCCATTCCCTGAACTGATACTTCTGGAGAGGTCTTGTTACAACAGCAAATCTTTAAATAGGAAAGAAAAGAAAAATCACTTGGATTTTACATTTTAGAAATAAACTTTTTGTTTTTTTGGTGCTGGGGATTGAACCCAGGGCCTTGTGCATGTGAGGCAAGCACTCTATCAACTAAGCTATATTCCCCAGCCCCGGAGATAAACTTAGTATAAAATAAACTTGAGATAAAATTGAGACATTAAATATAAGGCTATCTGTAAATTTTCAGAGAGCACAATATATATTTGAATACTGAGGACAGGGTCCCAACACCTAGAAGCAAAAAGCTTGATTGCAAAAAGCCTCAGCTCCAGGGGTATATCAAAACACCCTGTTCATTCCAGGCATCTGGTAAGAATGAGGAAATGGTTTAGGCCTTATGGAGGAAACACTGCAAAATGTCCCCCTTTGAGATCAGAAGATGGGGATGTGGTGAGTGCTAGTGGTTTATGTAGACACACAACTGTGAGTGGTCATCACCAAAGTTGGGCATGACATGAACAATGGGAAACTAAAGAAAAGAAAGCAAAACAGTGCTGCATTCCTTTTTTTTCCCTGTTTATTATGTTAGAAGCAATTAAGTGACAATCACTAAGCTGCCTAGAGAGAAAATATTCACTGATCATTCAAAGCTATATTTATCATCCTTCATTTTTAGCTATTAGCTAAAATATTAAAAGAAAGCCATAACAATACAATAGAATATAGAATATAGTAATGGTTGGCAAATGATGGCTATCTGGGTTTTTGTTTTTTTGGTGCTGGGGATTGCACCCAGGGTCTTGTGCATGCAAGGCAAGCACTCTTCCAACTGAGCTATATCCCCAGCTGGCTGTTTTTATAAAAAAAAGTTTTATTGGAACAAAATTGCAATCATTTGTTTTCATATTATGATTGCTTTCATGCTACAATGGCAGATTTCAACAGGTGTGACAAAGACCTGTGGTCTGCAAAGCTGTAAATATTTGCTACCTGGTCCTTTACATTTCGAAAAAAGTGTGACTTGTGATGCCAAATATAGCATAGTAAGACTTGATTATATAAATCAGTTAATATAACTAATAAAGTCAGCCTATAAAATATGATATTATTTTATTTTCTCCTATTACACACTCTCCAAAGACAAATATCACTGGGCTGGTTAAGAATCAAAATTTTCTATGCCACTGTTGTCTTCTATTTTATTTGCCACCAATCCAACAAAATTATGGAACCTGAGATTATACTACTTTTTTTTTTTTGGTAATGGGGATTGAACCCAGGAGTGCTTAACCCCTGGGCCACATTCCTAGCCCTTTTTTATTTTGAGTCAGGGTCTCCTTAAGTTCCTGAGGCTGCCCTTGAACTTGTGAGCCTCCTGCCTTAGCCTCCCAAATTGCCGGGATTACAGGTGTATGTCACCATGCCCAGCTGAAATTGTACCACTCTTAATGATAGTGCCTAAAATGAGTTAGTACACTTTCACTCCTCTAACAAATGCTGAGAGGACAGGGGATAACATTTCAAAGGAGAACACAATGAAGTGAATAAATGAATAAACAAATGAGGAGCAACAAAGCACATTTGCAAAACTGGAATTGTAGCTTCCCTCTCTTAAAAGTCAATGTGCATCCTGTTCTTTCTTCATCCCATAGCCAGTCCTACTCCTGGCCAAACATCTCATGTGTGTGTGTATGTTCGTGTGCACGGGTGTGCATGTATGTGTGGGTGTGTGCACATGCATGCATTTGGTCCAAGGGAGAAAAAAGGAGGGGAGTATCTTTGGAACAATCCAACACCAGTCATGGGAAGGGGAAGCTTACATCATGCAGACACGGGCTATTTTGCATGTTCTCAAATATAGCAAGACTAAATATTTTATTAAGATCATTTACCTTAAATTGACTTGTACTTCCAAGTGACAAAGAAACATAATCTTAAAATGTACGATCTTAATTTGGGTTGACACTCAGTTCCAAGGAAGACAAAAGGTAAGTTTCCAGAAATAGACCAGAACTCTTTTCTAATGAATTAGCATGACCAAGTCTTGTAAAGTATGCTTATGGAACTGATAATGTAAAAAGAGGCAGATGTACCAAATGGCTCTTTGAGACCTTTCTCCACATTTAAATTTTCTTAAAAAAAAAAAAAAAAAAAAGAAGAAGAAGAATCAAATGACACCATATCATACCTACCACATGTGTCTCACACCATCTGGCCAGGCACTTTTCTCTATAGCCTATTCCCCAGACACCATCTCTTCAGATGTCCACCTTGGCAAATTCTTAGAGAAAAAGTGCATCTAAAACTTTCTCCGTACCACATTCATAAATACAAGTTAAAAAATGTCAATAAAAATGCATAACTCATCGATCATTAAGAATATTGTGACATGTTAAATGTACCTCTCTGGTTTTCAGTATACAAGTCATATGTTCTAAAAGAGTGCTTTTCCTCCTAAACAAAAAAAGGAGAGTCAAAAGTATACATTTTTTTTAATTTTAAAAACATGTAGAAAATCATATCTACTTGATCAAAAAAAGATGGAAATGGATCTGTTAATTTTACAAACAAGTCAATTTGAATTCATTTCTTATTCTTGACTATATCCTGCAATTTATTTTAAATTAAACATTATTTCCAATTTACTACATTTTTCTTTCTATGTGGTTAGGAACTTAATTTGATGCCTAGATTCTGGATTTTATTTCAGCAACGATTCATAGGAACTGAACTAGCCTGACTATAATTATTTCAGTAGAATCCAATTTCCTATATGTCATAAAAATAACCTTCATCACAGCTACTCAGATTTTTTTTTCATATAATAGAGCATACAGAGTTGTTATGATTCAATTGTTTTTCTACCCAGTGATTACATGCTCCCAGCAATTTCAGATGCATCTGTTTTCACAAATGAATTGACATCAAGTAATACTCCACTGAAATAAATGGAAACCTAACTCTCCATCTTTTTATTATTGGATCCCGTGATCTATTTCCTTTGATTCTGTCTTATTCATTTCCTCCACTTATTTCATTTGCAGTGAATCTGCTTACTCAATCAATCCTCACACTTTGATTTAATTTAATGCTCTCAATTTAAAAACCGTCATTTGTAACAATTTGGCATTTTACCAATGCATCTGAGAAAGCCTGCTACTTGCTTTCCTTAAAAATTCCTGAATATATACTAAACACTCTTTGTGAATTTTGGTCATCCAGTAGCATTCTGTGAGCAAAGCTATGAGACCATTTCAAAAACACAAATGCTTTTCTTTTGTGGAGCCTTGGATTATTTTTGTCTAAAATAGGAACAAAGCCATTCTGATTTAGTTTTTAAATAAACAGCTCTCTCTGTGGGAGTTTGTGAATCACAATAGCTGGGATGTGTTCTCCTGCCCAGGAAAGGACAACTAGAAAAGCTAAGGTCAATTTAGAAATCTAAGTTTAATTTACATTCTTAATAGCATAATAATTATCCAAAGCTATTAATTCACAAGCTACTGGGTAGGGCAATAATACCTCAAATTAAGAGATGGGCTTTTTCCCTGTCACCTACAATTGAAAACGTGTGTGTTTGTGTGTGTGTGTGTGTGTGTGTGTGTGTGTGTGTTGGGAGGGGTAATATCAGCATGAAAAACTGCATGAAGTGACAAAATGTATAGAATTAAACTCAGAATAAGAATCCTTTCTGAAAGCCTTAAAAGAAAAGTGCAGAGAGGGAGGGTCTATCAGTTCCAGAATTATATAATGCCCTCTATAAGTAATGATGTCAAATTTTTAAATGTTCATATCAATGAAATAAGCATTTGTTTTATAAACTTAAAAATAAATCTGTAATACTCAAGTGACAAGTACACATGACCATCGGTGGCTATTATTTTATGTGGGTCTTAATGACAATGGACAAGCAAATTGAGGAACTAGGAAGATACTTGTATGAGTTTGACTTTGTGGAGCTAACATGGGAACTTGTTCGTCTAAATGGAGATCACTAGATAAGCCAGTCTCCAGATGAAGCACAATTCTTTTTGCTCCAGATCAGTAAAAATAAATTTCCTGGCCTGTATTCTTATTTAAGTATGTTTCATACATGTGATGCTATCTTTTGGTCGTTTGGTGCTAATGAATTATTGAACAAACAATTCATGTTTATAAATTTTGGTAATTTTAAAAGCTCTTCCACAATGATCTTTCCACTTCTAATTTTGCCTGTAAATCCACAGCTAATGCATTTTCACATACAGTTTGTCAGGGATGCAGTGGCAATCTGTAGACCTGTTATTAATATTTAATTGACATAAAATAGCAATCCATGAGACTAAATTATGAAATTCACAATTATTTAGAAAGGATTTTGTATCAGTTATATGTCCTTTGCTTGCTTTTGAAAAAAAAAAGCAAAACATTTTATATCTGCCACGAGAGATCATCATATTAATAAAAAAAAAAGTACACATGAAACAAAATCACTTGCTTTAGAAAAAATGCTATAAACAGTGATAGAATTCCTCAGGATGATGCTGTTAGGATCTTATACCTCTCAAACATGCAATCATGTCTCTAATAATGGAAATGAATCTTTAAACTTTTATCTCACTTCCTCAGCGTGAGAAATATTCAAGAGTTTTTCTTATCACTATTCAGTCATTAAAGTAGATTAGAGAAAAGAAAAAAAAAAAAAGAGGCACATATAAGAGAAGACAGGGTGGGTTTTTGTTGGAGGGAGGTCGGTCTGACACAAGGATCGAACCAAACTAACAACTTTAAAATTAGATTGGTATTTGCCTAAAGCCACTGGATTATATTCTTGCATGGTTAAAATGGCAAATTTTATGTTATGTGTATTATCATATTTTAAGAAATTTATTTTTAAAATGAAATTGGTCTGTTCAGGATAAAAATGTTAATGTGCACAGAAGAAATTCTGCATAAAAACAAGCTGCCTTTACCCCAACATGCTAAGTGGAATTACATATAGTCACCAGTTTTTGTAGGTTTAAAATGGTTGACCATCAGGAATTTCATATGGTTCAACCTATATAGGCATAAGAAAAACATAGTTGTGCCCCTATTCTGGAGAATTACTACAGTTTAGTGACTGTCATTGAGCGCAAGGGCCGTTGAGCGAAATAACCTTAGCATGGTAGCTTTTAACATCAGAGCCACTGCGGATATAGAACATGTTTTTGTGCGATTATGACAGTCCATGACTTTGAGTGAGGGAGATCACTTACAATGCAGTGAGATGCCATTAACCTAACAGGGGCTGAGCTGATTCCATGGGGCATCAAACTTGACATCAGTCATTATTTAGGAAAAGAGATTAATTTCAGCTTCTATTTTCTGTCATTTTCATACTGCAACAATACTGATTTCTCAAAAAGCTATTCTGGATATCAAAATTGTGACATGGTCTAAGATTTCCTTCAGGGAACAGGACCTTTCATCAATTTTCCTCCCTCAAATCTTTAAGTCATAAGTAGCAAAAGACCCCTTCTGTTCTATCAGTACTAGGCAACAGAGCTATGCCCTCTCCGAAGCTCTAACTGTAAATGATCATTATGGGCCATAGTTGGGGCTTGATACACAGAAAGAGCAATCACACTAGAATAAGTAAATGAAGGTATGTCTAAATCACTACTATATTAGTGGAACCAAAGTGTAATTAGCATGCATGCCCCTCCAGTTCCGTCTTGGCACTGGCAGAGAACAACACATTCCGTGTCCCTGAAATATAACATGCACAACGTAAAAGCTAAATTGTGATTAATTACATTAATAAAAAGACAATTTCCCATATTCAACTCCCCTTGGTGACAAACTATGGACATCCTTCTATGAAATAGCACATTCCATAGGAAGATGTGCAACAGGAATGGACTAAAGAGAGGCTGCTCTCTTCATCTAACATCAGCCCACAGGAAAACACCACCCTGCAAACAAGATCATGCCATAGGGATTGTTTCAGAGCCATTTAAGAGACAAAACCCGGCTAACCCCTTTTCAAGCACCCTCAGTGAAAAGCTTTAAAACCGGCTATTGTCGGAGCACTGGGTACCTTTTCTCTCTTGGCTTTGTTCAGTATTTTCCTCGGCTGCAGTTTCCATGGCTGGCTTCATACCATCCACCAAAAATGCTTTTCCCTGCTCCCCCCAACACACACTTTTTTTTTCCTCCTCTTCCTTTTCTTTGGACTCCCCTCCGTCTCTTATTTACACCCGCCTGATTGAAAGGCTCTGTTCTTCACTACAGTAGATTACAGTCCCTTCCAAGATGCAAAAGTCTTGTCAGCGTCAATTTCGCTCTGCCTACTGGTCCATAAAGACAGCTGCCAAGGAACAGGCAGCCATACGTCACCGAGGATCCCAGTTATAAAACAACCATTCTGCACCCGCGACTGTGCCTCCGCTCTGTGTGGCTCCCAGGGGAAGGACCTGCTCCCCCACAGCTCTTCCTCCTTGCTGTCTTAAGATCGCTCCCTCCCCTTCTTCTTGCCAACTGCACCCAATGAATACTAATTAATTCTCCCAGGAAAGAACAGATTTGTGACATCAGAGGAAGGGATGTGGAAGAGAAAGAAAAGAGCCCCCTCCCACCACGTGACTTAGTTGGTTGGCCACAATATATGCAGTCTTAGGAGAATGCGCGTCTTCCCAGAATCACCAGGCTTTTTTCCCATGCCACCCCTTTCTGGTGCATCACAGTTTTATTTATTTCATTTATCCCCAAGCCCTGGGAAATCATATTCAAAGGATGTGCCGATAGTCTCTATTTGCTTTTTTAATACTTCTTTTTCACAGAATCTCTAGATAGACAGGCTGATTTAAAAAAAAAATAATGCACACACACGTGCGTACACACACACACACACACACATAAGACTGAAAGAAAATGTACGCAAGAGAGAAGAAAACCCAAACGTGGATTTAGCAATAGCAATGTAGCAATCTGGTATTAGAATTCACTCCTTTGTCTATAGTTAATATATGTGACAGTAAAGCAAACTAAACTCAAGTCAAAATTTATAAAAAGGTAAACTTTCCTTATTTAAAAACAAACATAATATGTTATAAGTATATCTAGCTGACATTTTGGTGGTTTCTTGACATGAAAATTCATTTTTTAAATTGGATGTGATTATTTCCATATGGTGATTTATTCATTAGAACTCCTCACTCAAAATCAAAACGGCATTTTCAAAAGCATTCTAAATATTTGGCATAAAGGCTATTGTACCAATAGTGGGGTTTTTTGTTTGTTTGTTTGTTGATACTGGGGATTGAATCCAGATGTTCTTTATACATCCCCAGCCCTTTTTATTTTTTCATTTTGAGACAGGGTCTCGCTACACTGTTGAAGTTGGCCTCAAACTTGTGATCCTCCTGCCTCAGCCTCTGAAGTTATTGGGATTACAGATGTGGGCTAAGGCACCTGGTTCTGCCCCATTTTAAAAATGCATTTGGCTGGCCCACCTACCGTCTTTATCCCTATTAAAAACTTTAACTCAACTCAAATACAAAGATGACCACTGATAACTACAGGGTGAAGGATTCCCTGAGCAAAAAGAATCTGTTAGCTGACTGGGCTCAACACCCATCTTGGGAACATATATGAAACAGGTTGGAGACTCCCTCTCCTAAAACGCTCTCCCAAATTTTGAAGCTTTATTGTTTAACACCTTTAAAAAATGTGCAAGACCTTGAATCCAAATCCTTTAACAACCTGATCTTTGAATACTTTGGTTTTAGATAATCCCCAAACCTTCTTATATTCAATACCTCTGTCTTGTTAAATAAGAGAAGATTTTGAAAACCAGTTAAGCCTGTTTGGATACTAATTTTACATCTCACTTTTCACTTTAGAAGACCACACCCACAATCAACTATTCCCTTCAGTATGGCCCCAGCCAATTTTGTCTTCTGGTGAGGGGAGTGAGACACACAGCAGCCTAAAGCTGCAGACTTTAGATAAAAAAAAGATTCCTTTGTGATTAAAAAAGAAAGAAAGAAACAAAAAACCAAAAAAAAAAAAAAAAAAAAAACCTCTGATGTGTCTTAATGGGAAAGTTTAAATCATGTCTTGCAAAGAACACGTAGGCCCATTCAGACAAAAAGGTGACAGGTGCTGGTATGTGACAGGCTTGTTCCCTTCAGTATTTAAAATGAAAATTAAAACCAAAGTAAAATTCAATTTGGCACAAAAGAGGAGAATTGTGATTAGCTATGCTATTGGTTTTTCTTTAAAATGTCTAACAAAGTCATTCAATTCTGGAACTGGCAGAGTAGAATAATTTTTTTGGCCATCACTTTAGAGTATTTTAAATCCCTGGGCTCAAATGATCCTCCTGCCTCCACCTCCCCAATAGCTGGGGCCCCAGATTCAGGATACTGCACACTGTTGGGAATATTATTTTAATAATGATACAAGTGTAAAGGCACAATAGAAAAGATATTCTTATTTTAAAAACAACTTAGTTCTGTATCATAGTGACAGAAATCAAAGATATTAGACAAAATATTCACAAACCCTCCAGTAGATGCCTTCGGATACTTCACTCTGAAAAACTGTAGGTAAATGAACAATTCACCACTCTGACCTTATTTACAACTTCATCACTGTCATTAGGACAATGATGTATGACAATTCTAGAAAGTACCATTGTACCACTTCATAAGCAGCCTCAAATGTCTCACTGATGTTTATGATAATCCATTTGAATCAGTAAAGAAGAAAAATTGTCAACAACATTGAAAATGGAGTACATGTTTATGGTATTTTTGAGGTATGCATCCATCTTTGGCCAGAAAAGCCAGCTATACAGAACAAATAGGAGGGGAAATATCTCTCAGAGCTGAAAATATTTCTTTGAGTCCCATACTAAAAGACAGCAAGAATACTTCTGAAAAATCAAAGGATGAGAAAGATTAACACTAAATGGATATATTAGATTCAACCCAAGGCTAATGGGACACATAGAACTCTCCTAAGCCAAGGTGATCCTACCTGCTACAAGTGCTGTGGTATCATTACAGTGACAAATGAGCAGAGGAGGATTCATAAAGTCCCTACTGAATGCTAAAAATCAAGAAGCCATTCTGTGCTATATAACTGACTGTTCAGCCAACAGAACTCAAGTTGCACAATGATCTTCCTACAGATTATTCCAGCCACATAGCTAACAAAGATTTTTTTCAAATGCCCATTTTCTTTCCAGCTGGATGGTGCATGCCTGTAATCCCAGCGATTTGGGAAGCTGAGGCAGGAGGATCATAAGTTCAAGGCCAGCCTTAGGTACTTGACAAAGTCCGAAGCAAATTAGCAAGACCCTGTCTCAAAATAAAAAATGTTTAAAAAGGGGGGGACTGGAGATGTGGTTCAGTGGTAAAGTGCCCCTGAGTTCAATCCCCAGTACTAGGGAAAAAAGGGAATGCTTATTTTTATTTATTTATTTAATTTTTTTTTTACAACTTTCTAAATCATATTTTAGGTTCCTTATGTCCTCAGAATGACTCCTCAGTGAATAATCACTCATCACCAAGAAAGCATGTTTTAAAATTCCTTCTGGCTACTAATTCCTCTGCAATTTTCCTGTTTCATGGAACATTTGTATAATGTGAAATATGCTCTGGCATAATCCTTCCTCATTGTCCCTCCAAGGAAATCAATACCCAGAGCCACTTAACAAAAATTTCTTTTTAAGATAATTTAAAATTCATTCAAGTGGCTCTTATTTTCACATTACTTCCCATGATAAAATCCAAGATATGTTCTAGTAATAAATATCTGGGCCTTCTATTTAGTGAGAACAAAATTAAAATATAGCAAGAATTCTTATGTAGTACATTTAAGGGAGAAAACATACTTCATGTAAAGTAGAAATAGCTAAAATGATAATCTGTGTTGTTTAAAAGGTCACATATTTTTTTAAAAAAACTAAAACATACAGAATAGAGCCAGAAAGTCCGTATATGTTCACCTAGAATTGCATCCTTGCATAACTAGATTTTCCCAAAGCTTTATCAATTTGGCAAAGCCTTTGTCCTCCATTAGCAGAATTAAATTTCTAATTTTTCATCTAATGTGGGTCTTTGAAAAAAGCCTTCTGACTCCTTCCTGTTCTTATTCTCTGTCCTGATGCCCTTCCTCCTGTATATTGCTATACTTTCCTTTGCACAAAGTGACACCACATACAGTTAACAGCTGACATGACAAATCAAACCAAATGATGTATATGAACACTCTGGTTGTCACGCTCTGGAAGTATAAGCCATCCTCATTACTGTTCTTTTTAATGGTAGAGGTGGTTCCCAGGCAGGCCACTGTCGCAAAGCTGGCTAATGTCAATAGCTATGAGCGCATGAAAAGCCTCTTTCAGGCCAGTTTCTTCCCAATCTAATTGACTGTTTATTTAATGACAGACAGTGCCTCATTAGGAGCTCCAAGGAGCTACGAAAACAGCGACTGCCCAGTTTGGCAAAAGCCAACTTGAGGTGTGATAAGCCTCCTTCTCCTAGGGGGGGAGAAACAAATTAATTTCCAAAAGAAAAGCAAGAGAATAAATTGGGCAGGAGCAGACTGAGGCTTCACGGATGGAAACAGTTATGGCCAGAAAGTTTCAATATACCGAGCTGAAGAATGAGCATAGCACAGGTGGCCTGTGGCCGGAGGAGGCCTGACATTTTCACTAGTGCAGACACATGTTTCTTTATGTATGTGTGTGTGGTGGGGGAAGTCCTGGGGATTTAACCCAGGGATGGTTTACCACTGAGCCACATCCCCAGCCCTTTTCATTTTTTATTTAGAGACACGGTCTCACTAAGTTGCTGAGGATGGCCTTGAACTTGCAATTCTCCTGCCTCAGCCTCCCAAGTCGATGGGATTATAAGCGTGCGCTACATCACCCAGCTCGGTGTGGACACATCTGTCTCAAAAGTCAGTGTTGTTGCTTCCTTCCTGTCTATTATATCAAGCTTGCTCAATGTCAGCACCAGTGACAGTTGGTGCTGGTTCTTTCTTTGCTAAGGGGACTGTCCTGGATATAGTGGGTGTTTTTAGGAACATCCCTGGCCTCTACTCACTAGATGCTAGTATCACTACCCCAGTTTCTGAAAATGTTGCCAAACACTGCCAAATGTCTGGGTAAAATCACCACCAGTTGAGAATGACTGCCTTAAATCTCTCTTTTTTCTTCCCTACATTTTCTTTGACTATTGTGGAATCCTCCCAGTCTGTGGTCCTCAAGCCTTTACTGTACCCCACAATCATCTGCAAAGTCTGGGCAATGCTGATGCCAGGGCCCCACATCCAAAGATTCTGATTTGACAGGCGTGTGGTGGGCACAAGGACTTCAAGATCTTCCTAGGTGATACCAATTGCTGTAGGTGACAGGCACTCACAAAACATGTGCTGTAGTGACAGAGACACACTCAGAGACTTTAGGAAAATTATATAAGAGGGCAGTTTGATGGATGGATAAGAGACCAGAGAGGCCAGAGTCAGGGTAAATGCTCTTGACTGAGGATGAAGTGGAGACTCTACCCCCAGCTGGGGCAGAAATGAAACACCAAGCATTAAGGCGAGGTGGATTCAGGGTTGTTCCCCAGACTTTCAGCTTGGATCCCTAAAAGGATAATGAGTGCCACAGGGAACATAAGATTCAGTGATGTTCGGGTTTCCTAGGGTTGATGTGACAAAGTTATTTAAATTTGATGACTTTAAATAACAGATGTAGCCGGCGTGGTGGTGTAGGCCTGTAATCCCTGCAGCTCAGGAGGCTGAGGCAGGAGGATCGCAAGTTCAAAGTCAGCCTCAGCAACTTAGTGGGGCCCTAAGCAACTCAGCGAAACCCTGTCTCTAAATAAAATATTTAAAAAGGCTGGGATGTGGCTTAGTGGTTAAGAGTCCCTGGGTGCAGTCCCTGGAACCAAAAAACAAACAAAC